CTATGGAAATGCAGATTTCTAACATTTTCATTTCAATTTTCATTCCAATTTCCACGGGATTGGATTGGAGACTCAAACGTAAAAATGGGTTTTGTATAGTGAAAATAAATGAACTGAATTTCGATCATCTTTTCTTTTCGATCGAAACTTAAAAATAAGCTCTCAACCAAACTGTATTTTTTTCAGCTTTTCGATCATCTTCCAGTGATCAGATAGTAGTATACTTTTTACCTTTATCTTTTAGATATGTAATATATTATTTCACTAATGATTTGCTATGCTTCTGTCAATGATCTGGTTGTAAAAGCTTAACCATGTTGTTGTCATGGTATTGGAAGTGTTGCTGATTCATTGGTACAATTTCTCCTAATTACTGTGTTTGTACTTTGCACAACAAGACATGGTAATCTTCTTTCACTCTTGAGTTAATTGATTAAGTGTAGCATGTATCTGGCAATGATGATAGCTTCCACAAAAAATGAAATTGATGGGTTGGTGTTGATTCTATTTCCATATAGTTTCATATGCCCCCATTAATAGTGAAATCAATTTAAATCTGAGCCAAATATAACAACATACATGCTGCCTTAATGGAAGTACTGGAATTTGGTAATGTGAACATTGAGTTAATTGATTAAGTGTAGCATGTATCTGGCAATGATGATACCTTCCACCAAAAATGAAATTGATGGGTTGGTGTTGATTCTATTTCCATATAGTTTCGTATGCCCCCATTAATAGTGAAGTCAATTTAAATCTGAGCCAAATATAACAACATACATGTTGCCACTTAGATAGTAAAATGGAATTTGCTTATGCATATGTATTTATGACTTCTGACTTATTAGATTAATTGTTGCATTATTTAATCAATAATGATAGTTTCTTACATGAATTGTTTACTCAATTAGTTATTTTGGCAATGAGGATGGCTTCTAGCCTTCTACAGTTCTACCAGAAAAAAAAATAATGCCCCCACTATTAGTGAACTGAAATTAAATCTGAGCCAAATCTTATTGTATTTCTATATACTTTTGAATTGTTTATAGTTCCCACTTCCCAAGTTCCCAGAAAATAATAATGATAATAATGACACTAAACACTTCCCAGTTTAGTGTTTATGATACTAATGTGTTTGTGACTTACATAAGAACAAAATCAATGACTGTTCGGTTGATGATCTGCGAAATTGATGAAACCTGGAATTCTGGAAACACTCTAGTAGACTAGTAGTCAAGTAGATGTCAAGAGTCAAGATCTGAAGACTTGTACATCAATTGAATGTTGTTAAATTTTTTGTTGGTACTTGCTGTTTTGGAACATTTGATTGCTCAAACTCTAAATGTTAAATTGCTTTGTGCATAAGCAGTATAACTGTGTAAGTGTATAAGTAAGTACCAAGTAGTATTGGAGTAATGTGTATGACCGTATGAGTGTATAAGTGTTAAGTGTATAAGTTATAAACTTATAACTATTAGCCATGTGTTTGGAGTTGTACAAACTCTACTAATTTTGTAATTGCTTTTGATAACATATTATTATGTATTTTATTTGTGTTTGTAAAGTTTAATTGTACATATTTTTTCAAGGTGATTTTATGAATTATTTGTGTTATGTTTTTAATGGATTTTAATCAGCCCGAATGGCCCCGAGAACCGATTAAAACCGACCCAAATCCGAAATTGTGCAACCCGATTAGCCCGAAATATTTTTTGGACGGGGTAGCGTTTTATATTCTCAGCCCGTTAACCGAAAGGGTATGCAAAAACCCAACCGGTCCTACCCGAACCCGTCCGACACTCTCCCCTAGGGCCAAGTACTCATTGTGGTGCGCTCAGCAGGTCCGTTTGGGATATGCCCATTAAATACCTCATCGCCTCTTTTTTCATCCCCATTTCGTCAGTCTCATACGCCATCAAAACGCCGCTATTGATACAACGCCCGACGCAGGGAGAAGAAGCTCTGACAGGTAGAGAAAGAGGAAGGCCAGGCTGTTCTGGTAATTTTCTCCATTCATTCTGCTAGATTTATATGCTTATGTCGTTTTTTTGCTTTGAAAATCATAAACGTAATTAATGTGTTTGGCGTTCGTGATTACATTGCCCTCAGCAATGTTTCCTCTACAATTTGAAGCTACATTCGGATATAGAAGGGAGAAGGTTTCATAAGAATCTCTAATTTCTGTATTTTATCCCTTCTCACGTCTATGTCACTGATTGATTTTTTTTTTTTTTTTAGGAAACTGAACTTTAAATGTTATCCAGTAAATACTAAAATTGATGGTGTTTTTTCTTTCTAAATTACTTTTGATTGTAGAAAATCAACAAATCTAATCTAAATATTCATTTTTTATGTAGCATTACTGGGTGAGATTTTAATTTTAATATCCATTAATCTATGGAAATGCAGATTTCTAACTCTGGAAATTGGAATGAAAATGTTAGAAATCTGCATTTCCATAGATTATATAGGCAGATTTATATAGGCACATGTGTTGCAAATAAACTTTGGGCACATGTGTTGCAAATAAATATGTTTCTGTTCGTAAATTTAATGAGTTATGAAGTATTAAATATGTGTAATACTTTACATTTTTAAGTGAATTTAATAAATTATTAGTTTAAGAACTTGGTAAGCATATTTTGAGCAACTTTGAAAAACAAGTCAGGTTTAAAAAGTCTAAATATAAATGTATTTTTCTTGTAATACAAGTCAGGTTTCTCGTAATGTTATAAGAGACCTCATTACAATTGTATTGGATGATTGATATAAACCTAAATGTTTTGTTTTGTTTTTAACTTTGCGCAATTCTATACTTCGTATTAGATTTTTTTTGGAAATTCTATATTAGATTATATATTTGAATAAGTAACATTTTTAAATCTAGTAAACTAATAACCTTCATTTTTTATTTGTTGAAACAATTTCAGACGCGGAGGGGCCCACCTTTTAAAACTACATCAGCACTATACCATCTTGTTATACTTCTTTTTAACAGTATCTATTGGACTGTATATTGTCTGATACTCCGTTTTTATTTCCTTAACTTCAAGTTTCCATATACGATAGTATTTCATTAACTTCGTTCATACTCCGTAACCTTTTTATACTTGTATGTAGCTGTAATATAATAACTACTATTACTACTAATACTAACGATTAACAAATAGGACGTGGGTATTAGCTCGAGAGTTAAAGAAAATATAAAAATTGAATAATATTGTACTCAAAAGCCCACTTGTATTAAAGTAATTCGTTGATTACACTTGAATTGTCCGAACGGTATGTCGGAACAGTAGCTAATACAAAAATAAGAGTGAGAAATATATGTTAAGTCTCTGAGTATCAAAATGCTAACACTTTACAACGTAATTAATGTCTCTATTTATACTAGGAAAGGGGTAGGTGGGGTGATGACGTGACTGAACCCGACTGGCTATCGTCCCCTGCCACTTGGACACCCATGCTCCCACTTGCTGACGCCATACTCTAGCATTTAATGCACCTTGCTACTTGCAGATTGCCCGTTCGGGCAGCAGACTTACAGTCCAGGCTGGCGTTGCGTATCTGATCCAAGTGTACTAATTGGCCCGTTCGGGATAAAGCTCTCCTATAAATTCCCGGTTCCCGTTCGGTGTTAAGTTCTTCCTAGGCCTGTTCTCCCTCTGGGTCCTTAAATGACCTTTGGGCCGGGTATTTGGGCTTTCGACCCAATATCCCAACAGGTAGTATTACTATAAACACTAGAGGAATTACCGTACGATGCACATTCATATCTAGAATTGAATAGTACTTTCCACGTCTTTTAAAATTTTGTCATCTTTTAATTATTTAGTATGTTAATCAAATTAAAATTTGAGCAATGATATATACGATTAGAAAATGATTTATAACATAAAAATTATACGAAAATACTTCTTTCGAAAATACTTTCATAAAATTATAAAATTTATAATTTTCATAAAATTATACTAATGAAAATTATTGGTAACAAATTATCACCATTGAATTGATAAATCAAAGATAAAAAAGTTTTAAGGGACAAATATAGTAAGTTAGGTAACAAAAATAGGTGAATGATATTTAGGATGTTTTTAATTTAACTGATTTTGATTCAAATAGATTTATAGATGTAAGCCAATCATTTCAGATAGATTAAATTTAAAAAATAGTAAGGCTATGTTTGGCATGCATACATGGGCGGAGGTGGAGGGGTGGTAAACCGGGCCGGCACGCATTTATGTGTAAAAATTTATCTGTAAAAATTCTTTGTACCGGCCGAATCCAACTCTTACTCTTGGCTACGCCCCCTGCACACATAAGTCTCTGCCTTCTAGCCTTTGTACTATTTAAAAAGTCTTTAAAAACTTCTAGTTGTATGTTTGACATGCTAATTTTTAAGAGTTTTTATAAAAATAAAAGATTTTTTTGAGATGCTCGAATGAGTAACATCTCGGATAAGTCTGTAACTTTTAGCATCAACTAGTCCCAACAGCTTGTATACCAAACATAACTAAATCAAACAGTCAACTTTTTATCAAATTGCTATTAACTTTTTCTTTTAAGATTTTATAAGCTACTAAAAGCTAATAGTTACCAAAACACTCATAAGAGTATTTTTTCAGTTAGTTTTTTCAAACATACCATAAATACACATTTATCGGCCATTCAACAGACCAAACTTTAACGTATCTAATCAAATATTTAACGTATCTAAAATTTTAACGTAATATGGATGTCATATCGTAGATCATAAAAAGTTATTTAATTTGATATAATTTTTATAAAATTTGAGGTACAATTGAAAGAGTTATAACATTTTATAAAAAAAGAATAATTTACCACATGGCAGCAAATTATTGGATGGAGAAAGAATTTAAAATTGATATAGTATAGTATTCCGTATATTCCTCCGTATAGTACAACGTAAAGTAAAAATGAGGGTGTGCAAAGCAACACCCTTTTCATTTCAATTTTCATTCCAATTTCCACGGGATTGGATTAGAGACTCGAACGTAAAAATGGGTTTTGTATAGTGAAAATAAATGAACTGAATTTCGATCTTCTTTTCTTTTCGATCGAAACTTAAAAATAAGCTCTCAACCAAACTGTATTTTTTCTGCTTTTCGATCATCTTCCAGTGAGCTTGGCCGGTCCTGACTCCTGAGAACTGGGCGAGAGATTTTCGGGATAGAGCGATGGAGGGAAGGGAAGAAGCGTCAGCAACTGAATTCGGGCTTTGGAATAGACAAACAGTACCAGAAGTTATGAAAATACTGAGCACTAGACTCCCCCAGAGAGACCTCACCTCCCTATTGCTCCTCAGCCCTTGGGTTCACCGCGCTCTCAACTCTCACCCCTCCCTCTGGCTGGTCAGCTTCTCTCTATTTCTTGAATACCCATATCTCTCCCCTCTGTATGTGTTTGAAGATTGCCTTTCTTCCATCTACATATATTTTTCATTTTTGCATTTGTGAATTTGATTTTCTTACTAGTCCTTGTGGAACCCTTCCTTTTCAGGCACTTGATTTTCATGAGATGACTGATGCAGGAAATCGCCTCGTGGCTGCCCTTTCTCTTGTCAGCTTTGAATCTTTGATTTTGATTTTTCTTTACGTTTTTGTGATGAACGGTTTCTGGGAAAAACCTGAAGAATAATTTTAGATGCCAAAGTTGAGATTCACTGTATTGATGACTGAAGGGAATTTGCAATTACCTGTAGAAGATAAAGAATAGATTTACTGTATTTTGACTTAAATCGGAAATGTTTCTTACCCAGTTTCTTTGAGCTCTAGTGATTTACTTATATAACATTCTCTCTTTCCAGCTAAGATATCGGAATGTGAGGCATATAAACCTTGAGTTTGCACAGGGCGTCGAAGATGGGAACCTCCAAGATGTCAAGAGAAAGGTAGCCCTCCATACACTCCTGTAAATCGAAGAAAGATCTTATTTTGTTTGTAAATATAACATCTATACTCAACTCTGCATTTCATAGCTATTAAGTCTCAGTTTAATTGCTCAGCTTAGTGGACTATAGGATTCCAGTTAGAGTTGTATTAAGATGAAGAAAGTAGAATGTGACTCCCCTCTGGGTTTGTGAATTTGTGATTGGTTAATTAGAATTTAAAAATAAGATGAAATGTTTTATATATTAAAAAATCACTTATCTAACCAATTATTGGCACACAATTGTGGTACAGAGGATTCCTACTGATTGAACACAACATTCATGGGGTCACTACATTTCATTTTTAAGTCAGCATACTTGCATCAGATTACCGCAGTCAAACAGAGTTTATTAAGAAGCAAACTTGCTATTTGTTAATAAATATATATAATGTGAGACCTTTTTCTCATGGTAAAAATGTACATATATATGAGCTTTTAATGAAGTTTCAAATTCATGTAATTTGTCAATGACAGTGTGTGGATTCCCTTCAAAACCTTGAGATATTGAATCTAAATGGCTGTCAAAAGATCTCAGATAAAGGAATTGAAGCCATAACAAGTATTTGCCCCAAACTGAAGGGATTATCCATATATTGGAATATCAGGTATTTAAGAGCCGTAATTAGCGTCATTATGCATGTATGTGATATTCGTGCTTTTTAATCTCAATTGTATTTTTCATTTTCACATGTGTGATTGCTAATTGATTTTCAGGGTCACAGATGCTGGCATAATGCACTTAGTGAGAAACTGCAAACTTGTGGTTGATTTGAATTTGAGTGGATGTAAGGTACATGGTGATTGTTTATGATATGTGGTTCTGTCTCTCTTAATTGGTTCAGGTTTGGGTGGGGGTGGGGCACTGTTCCTGACCTTGGGTTGGACTTTGAATCACATCGGCCGAGGCATTGCTACTAGAGCACTAGAGTTGATTATCAATGGCTAATAGATCTTTTTTGAAGCATTAATGTGCGTAGCAGTTTTGTGCGTGGACTATGCAGCCTACGTGGCACATAAAATACTTTAGCTACTCAAAAACATTGGAGTGAAATAAAGAGAAAGGATAGCAAGAAAAATTAGTGATAGGTTTTTATCATCGCCACAACCCCTAATATGTGACTAGTGACCATGGACTTTGAGAGTCAAAGCTTGCCATTTCATTCTACCAATACCTTTTCCCAAAGATTACCCCACCTTTTTGTTTGTGAATATTACAGACTATTACAGATCAAACGTTGCATCTAATTGCTGACACCTATCAAAATATGGATTCGCTGAACATCACTAGGTAAAGCTAAGAAATATGTGTAGGTTCCTTAATTTTGTTTTTCTTAAAAAACAGTCTGTAACAATGTTCTCTCTCCCTCACTTTTGTATAAAGTATGACATTCATTACATGAAGTAGATTTCTTTATGCATAGATCAGGCATATGGCAAGATAAGTGTTTCCTTTACCAAAAAGGGAGTTCCTGATCACAATTGACCAATTGTTACTGCTTTTAATATGAAGTCGATGATTAATGTGTTTGTGATAGAAAGTAAGTTAATACTCCCTCAATCCCAAAACAGAGTCCTTTTTCAAAACATACTTTTGTCTCATATAGTAATTACATTTTAACAAAAGAAGCAAATTGTCATTATACCTACTGTGTATGTATATATTTAAAAAATGTGATTCCCAGTTGTTGTTCCTCGCTCAATATAAAAAACTGTACCTTTTGTGGTAATACCAAAATATATTCCTTTTTCAAAACTTACTTTTTGTCTCGAACACAAGTCATATTTGAACAAAAGAAGCAAATTGTCATTATATTCACTGTGTATATAGATAATTTAGTATGTCAAACTTAGCGAAATCAACAAATAAATATAAATTTTAGGTAGAATTGATGATTCCCAAATGTTGTTCCTTAATTTAAAAAACTGTACCTTTTGTGGCAATATCATGCTATTAAAAATATTGTATGTAATCCTACCTTTGTGATCTCTTCACGTATACAGGTGCATCAAGCTGACAGATAGTGGTTTGCAAAGAATATTGCTGAAATGTGCTTCTCTTCAAAGTCTGAACCTTTATGCCCTTTCTGTGTAAGAAATTAAGAGTATATATACATAGTTTGTGTGTGTACCCCTTGTTTTTCATTGCACATTCATGCAAACTATAAATTCGTAATGTTTGTCATCTAAAAGGGTCAAAACATACCCATGTATAGGTTTACGGATGAAGCTTACAAGAAGATATCACTTTTGCCTCATCTGAAATTCCTTGATCTCTGTGGTGCCCAGGTGTGATATTTCTCTTTGACGTTTTGTTTTTATATGACATCTTGCTTCGGCAGGTTCTGCTATCACTTGTTTTTATGTACACTTTTTCAATTGACTAACGGCATTAATCAGAATCTTTCAGACGATGGGCTTTCTTGTATTGCACATTGTAAAAGGCTACTGTCTCTCAATCTGACATGGTACGTTTATGTACAGGGCCTACTATCTAGGGAAAAAGAACATTTTTGTGTATGGTATTGACTTACAAATTGTAATCTTATCTCTGACAGGTGTGTAAGAGTTACCGATATGGGGGTCATAGCAATTGCGCAAAGTTGCATTTCCCTTGAATTTCTAAGGTGCTCATAATGGGTCAATCTTTGTGCCCCATCATTCTCAAGTAACTGTAGATTAACTTTTGCAACTTGTCTGTCCATTTTGCAACCAAATAAAGTGAAACTTTGTAAATTGACCAAGTTTCCCTCACATATTTATTTCAAATTGTCTTGATACCTTTTTAATACCTATATTCAATATGGGTATTTTTTTAATTTATGAAAAATCTCTGTCACCTTAAAAATCACAAATTGTCCTTAATGGGCAAGGGAGTATTTGAGAACAGAGGGGGTGCATCATTTCATGGATATATGTTTCTTGACAGCACACGACTTACTGTCAACAAAGAATTTTGTGATGTTCTGTAAACTTGTTTGTTCATGTTTACTTACTGGCCAATTCTTAGGGAGGGATAACCACTACTTGCGTGAAAGTTTTTAGTGAACATGTGGAAAAGTTGTTGCTACATCTGTCACATTAACTTTTTATTCTCCAACTTCTGCAGTTTATTTGGAATAGTTGGGGTGACTGACAAATCCCTGGAGGCACTCTCAAGCTTTTGTTCAAAAACACTAACAACTTTGGATGTGAATGGTTGTATTGACATAAAGGTAAAAAACACAATTTGAAACCCAAAGATCAAATTGTAGAATGACAATGTTTGTCCCTTCGACTAATACTTGCTTTGCTTACATATTCTAGAATCGAACTCGGGATCAACTGCTCAAGATGTTTCCTAACCTGAAGTGCTTCAAAGTGCATAGCTGATGTTTGGTTGTTTGGATTCAAATCTTTCTTCGGGAGCATATATCACCACACTAGGTCTTTCTAATGCAGTGGTGCAACATAATCTGTTGTTAAAACAGCCCTGCTTATCATATTTTGAGGACTCACAATTCTGTCATCTCCGATGCTTTCTGTCTCCCCTGCATACCCAGTCAACTGCTCATGCAAGAGGTTAAAATTTGCTATTTAGGCATCGAGCTCTCATCAACCATTCCTATGCGCTACTAAAGTTCAATTGAAAATGTTTTTTCCTTTGCCTTTGCAGAAGGTTTCCAACTTGACATGTATGATATAACTCTTGCATTTCTTTTCTTCAATCGAAAGAATAGAAAGCAATGACATCAATCCTTATCTGTGTATGTGCGCCTATTTTCATTTCTAGTTTGTCAATAGGCTGTTTGCTTAAGATTTTGTTAGTCACACGATTTTCTTTTTATCCGTGTCAGTTATTTCTCGCAAATCACATTTCAATCATTACTGTTTTCACTCGTTTCCTCTTAAGAAAAAGATAATGTTATTCCTTATTTCTCGCTAAGCACATTTCAACCATATTGTTTCACCTTTTAACCTCCATTTCTGATCAAATCGAGGGTTTAATTTAGGACGGATTGATTTGGTACTAACAAACTTCAGGTGATAATGTGATATTGTTATGCACTTCTCGAACTTTTATCTTTAGTAAGGTCCTTCACACCTATTTTAAAACTTGATCCAGGTGGGCACACGTGGAATGCATGTCTGATAAGCTTGGGACGGTAATCAGGGCGGATCTACCTTAGGGCCAGCGAGGGCCCGGGCCCCACCTAAAAAAAATTACTCCATCCGTTCAGTTGGATTTTACCAACTTTCCCTTTTTGGTTGTTCCAAAAAACCTTGTCACTTTCATATTAAAGCAACTAATTTTTTGTCCTGCACATTTCTCAACTCTGCACAAATTTCAACTATACAGTTTTCACTATTTTTATTTCTCATCTACTTTACATTTGACAAAGTCAACCGGGACAGAGGTAGTATAGAGTGTGTGTATGGAAGATTTCAAATAAAAAGAGGTGCTTCCGTGTAAAGTGTGAACATTTGCATTTTTTCCTCACCGCGTTGCACTATTTCATGTTTTCAGGTGCACTTTTCCGCGGTTGCAGAAAACTTCGATTTATTTACCAAATTGTCATCGCGTTTTTTTTATCAAATTTAGTGTATTTTTGGCTCATTTTGAGCCATGAGATCTTAAAATGAATGCATGAGATTAATTCTCACTTTGCATTGGAAGACCTCTTTGTGTTTGAACTCTCCCATATATATGTAATCCCTCCGTCCTAAAATGAACTTCATAGTCACCATATATATGTCTGATAACCTCTTTGTAGTGGTTTTAATGTAGTTTCTCAATATGTAAATTTTATTTACTAAAAGTAATCTAAGTATGAACAGTGATTGAGTTGTTTTATCGTCGGTCAAGCATCGTAATCTGAAATGGGAAGTTCATTTTGGGACGGAGGTAGTATATATAAATATATATATATAGGAAAATTCTCAGGTCCAGCACCTTCCGGTCCGAACGCCGTCCGAACACCGCCGTTTGGGGCGTTTTCCAGTGGAATTTTTTGATGAATTTTTTTGAGAATGTTCCTCATCAAGTCTAGTTTATCCATACCAAATTTCAGCTCAAAGTTCGACCGGGAAGGCAGTCAAATAATTCGTTGAAGTTAACTGCATTATTCTATGTATAATTTGGCGCAGTTAACTTCAAAGAATTATTTGAATGCCTTTCCGATCAAATTTTGAGCTGAAATTTGGCATGAATAAACTAGACTTGATGAGGAACATGCTCAAAAATTTTCATCAAAAAATTCCTCCGGGAACCGTCCCAAACGGCGGTGTTCGGACGGCATTCGGACGGGAAGGTGCTGGACAGGAGAATGACTCTCTCTCTCTCTCTCTCCCTCTCTCTCTCTCTCTCTCTATATATATATATATATATATGCATGCATGTATGTATGTATGTATATATATAGGGTGTCGTTCAGGTGAGAAAGCAGTCTTAGGAGAGAAATAAGAATAAAACTTGACCATAGATTTATTTGATCGGATGACTACAGTTGGAGTGAAATTAAAACTTTCATCCACTCATAATGGCATAGTGGAGGAGTTATAAAAGGCAAGGCTTCATTGTTATAAATACATAAGGGCTAAAGGGTAATACATGAAATCTGTTTGTTACATGCATCCGGCTTATTGTCTTCTCTCTCATGAGTTGTTTCCATATTGATTACAATCTAAATGTTGGAAATGTTGGAGAATAGGATAAGTGCACTAATGATACTATAACCTGAATAATGACACTAAGACGAATCATAAAAGTGTTGCCCAACAACAATATGAGCCAGTTTAAAATAATGAAAACATTAAAAAACGTAATCCATAATCTGAATGCAGGATTGTTGAAAGTAAAAGAATACGAGAGAGGGGAAAATAAATATAACTATAACATTTGGAATATCACATAAATATGTAAACATTTACAAAAATGATGAAAACAGAAATTTCAAACACATGGGATAATACATGAAACAAATTACAGAGCAATTCATAGTATTTCCATATGCACACATAGAAAACATATCTTACTTCGAAAATAATACCATTAGGTTTCATGATATGGTTTCGAAAATAATTACGAAAACGCCACTGCAAAAAATTAAGTCTGGAAACCTTGAAATTTTTTTGACGCGGTGGCATTTTTGTAATTATTATGGAGAACTTTATTAGTTATGATTTATTGGTTAAAAGTTCCTATATTTGGTCTATAAGTTTACTGCGTTGTAGATCAGCTGCAAATCCAAGGGCTAAAATTACTTTTCACTTCTCATTTTAAGGGGCACTTCTCACATGATCTCTTCTATATATTGGAATAGATCTGGTGAGAAGCTTCTACGGCTGAAAAGTGAGAAGCAATATCAAGCGTCCGATCAAATTAATCTGACTGCAATGAAAGTCCATCTTTATCTATTTCTTCAGACTGATTAATTGATCAGTTCTTTCTTATTTTAAGTTCCTGTACTTGATCACCTCACTGGAACAAAGGTTCATCGATTCTCCATCTTCATACTCTTCGATCGACTCTTCACCGCCTTACACCACCGTCCCTTTCCGCCCTCCTCTTCTCGATAAGGGTTTGGTGTCGTCATTTATGAATTTATACATACATACAATTTTGCTCCCTAATTATCAATTCCTTCTATAATTGCATATATGTTGTTTTATGATAGCTAGGTTTTCATTCTTCTAAAAGCAGCTCAACTCTCTATGGATTCTGGTAGGAATAATTCTTCTAAAGGCATCATTGTGCTAAGTATAGCAAAGTGCGATGTGCTTTTTCCCAGAAACGAGAATCTAATTCTAATTTTGGTTTATTCCTTAAATATTTCTTCGAATTTAGGCTTTGATTGTCTATAACTCTTACCTAACCTGTCTTGATTTTCTATAACTTTTACATAACCAGTTTTGACTATCTATAACTTTTACATAACCAATTAAACTAAAAACCTGACATTCTTACTTACGAACACTATTAATAGTGTTTCTCAAGTTCTATATAAGTCTATTTGTATCCTCTGTTTATCTATAGATTGAGACTAACTTATATCTACCAAGTGTTTGTTGAAATGTTTAAATGATGAATTGTCTCAATATCTTTTACATGTTAAGTTTATATTGATAATTTGAATCTATAGATCTGTACTGTGCATTTAATAATGTCAAAACTATAAGTTTAGTTACATTACAATTGACGGATAATAATGTCAACATTTAGTAATTTTGGTTTTAGCTATGCTCATTAAACTTTATAAATTTTATTTGACCCATAAAAGACTATAGTGCAGTTTGTTTGTATAGTTCTTACCACTTACTCTTGATCATATTTTTTGTGTAAGAAATCAATGCGGATTCCAAAGCAATTGGCCTAAACTCCCTTACATTGAGGATTCATAGAGGATACAATAGTTGAAAGGTGTTGGTCTGAAACGATTGCTAGTGACTTAAAATTAAAAAAAATAGCAAAGACTAATATATAGAATTTGCCAACTATTATATGCAATGTCATGACTTTTAGCATGTATTTTTAGCTAGTAATAGCAGTTACAATATTGATAGAGTATATCTAGAGAGAAGTGAGAGCTAGAGAGAGAAGTGCAATATATGCTTCAATAGAATGAATTTGTAACCCCTATAACTACTCCCAAGGGGAGTATTTATAGAGAAAATTAGGGTTGGGCTCCCAAGTCTTGGGCTTGGGAGGCCCATTTACAACTGGACCGCTACTGGGCCGAATACAAAGCCACTAATGGGTTGTACAAATGAATAAGTATAAAATCCGATTCTGGGAGGTCTTCGTGGCCGACGAGGGCGTGGCCGACGAGGGCACGGCCGACGAGGGCACCCGGGTTCCTTGGACTCAGGACCATAATCCGAGTTGGCCCCTTTTCGGCCGACGGGGGCGTCTTGGCCGATGAGGGCGCCACTCTGTTGTCTTGTGCTTTCTGTTCTTCCGAGTATGTGGGTCCGAGGGCTCAGACCCATATACTCCATCAGGAGTCCCCCACTCTCTAAGCTGAGGTGTAGACGAAGTGAAGGAGAGTAGATTCCTGTGTTTTAGTGCTTTTGGCCGATGCGTGCATCCCCGGCGTTCAGCCGTTGCGGCGCTGGCGTTGTTTCCTCTTGGGTGATCCTGTTCTGTGCTTTGGCCGTTACCTGTCCCTCGCTGTGGGCGGGGAGGCCGTTGTTTCCCTAAGGTGTTCATTTGAGGACGATAGGTGTCTTGTTTCAAATGGCGGCCGTTGAAAGGCACGTTTCGCTTGGGCGTTGATGGTTGAAGTTTGTGTTTGGGCCGATGAGGCCACTGAAGTTGATCCTTGCTTCGAGGACGATGGCGTCCTTTCCTTTGGGTGGCCGATGAGGGTGCTCGTGCACTCCTTTTGGCCGTTGTTTATGATGTCATGTGCCTCTGGTCGATGTGTCCATTGTGATGCGTGGACGATGTGGCCATGCTTTGTGGTTGCATTCATGTTCTTTGCATTGTTGCTTTTTGTTTCGTTGAGGCCGATGTAGTCCCCCAGTCCCCCACTGCTTCAGGCCGAAGAGTGTGAGGGGTGAATGAGTTGCATGAGTCCCTGGCCGAAGCGGTCTCTCCGTAGTCCCCCTGAATCCAACCCTCATGGCGATTTTCTGGCCAAGGTAACCCTGTGGGAGAACCCTTGTGCGCAGATCGCTTGTAGAGAGTTATCATCAAGGGTTAGTACGAGGAGCCGATGGCTGTGGGCATCTTTGTTCATTTTGTTCTGTGGCCGTTATGGCTGTTTGTTACGTTCCTGGCCGTTGCCGTCTCCTGGCAAGCAAATGGGATGTGGGCTCCTGCTGGTACTTGTGAAGCTGGCACGTGTGTAGGCCGTAGAGTCTGCTTTGCTGGTGGGCTGATATTGATTTTGGCCCGTTGGTGACGTGGTGGCCTCCCATTGGCGACCGCTGATGTGGCCATTGGGAGGGTGCCACGTGTAGTGACCGTTGGGTGGGGGGTTCTATAAATACCCCTCCCCCTCCGACGAGAAATCACATGTGCATTCTGAATTGTCGAAGTGCTGGCCATTTTTCTAGAGAGATAAACTCCCAAGGTTGTTCTTCGTGTTCTTCGTTGTTCAAGGTTAGTGTTCATCGCGATCTTCCTCACTTTTCATATTTTGCTTCCTAGAGTATTGATCTAGTGTTAGGCGTTTGAACACCCTTAGATCTTAAGTTAGTCTCCTTAGGCCCGTGGTAGTAGTTATGAAGAGCTTGAACGAAGATTACTACCCCTACGACGACCAGCCCTCCACGAGGTCACTTGACTACGAGGTGCTTGAGGAGTTCGAGGAGGAGATAGAGCATTTAAGTCCCTACAAATCCGAAGAGCCGGTGGACGAGGAAGGCGAGGACGAGGAGTCTGCCTCCTCTTCAAAAGGTACGTGAGGACGTAGGTGCGTCCCGAGTGGTGGACGGGGCGTCCACTTCTGCTGTCATTCCCTGCCCGAGGCCGGTGTCTGCCGTGAAGGGAGCAGTTAAGCCGAAGAGGGTGAGGAGGCCGAAGAATGGGCCGGGCCTCTCCTACCTGGATCTCACCAATATCTTTTTGATCAAGCCGGAGAGCAGTGCGGCCGACTATCTTGTTGCCCAGATGTACGTGGGGCCGTTCGGGCGGGTTAGGGCACCCAGGCCGACGGACCATGTTCTTCTTCCGCCACCGGGATACTTTGGAGTATACCCGATGAGTTTTGCTAAGGGGTTGAGGTTCCCCCTGAGTACCTGATGGTGGGGTTTT